TAATTTGGAAAAAAGGCTAAAAAATTTGAAGCACATTTTTTAAAAATGTATGTTCTAGAATTTTTATTGCCTTGTTGATAAGAGTTCCTAGTTTTGTTTCGGTGTGCGTAAAATGTTGCTTAATAACCAGCTAAACAGTAGAACATTGCAGGTCAAGTGACATATTTATGGGAGTTCCTTCTACGTTTGCTTCAAGACAAGGAATATTGTCCAAAATACATCAAATGGCTTGACCACAGTAAAGGCATCTTTAAACTTGTCGATTCAAAAGCTGTTTCGCGTCTATGGGGGCTACATAAAAATAAACCTGGAATGAATTATGAAACTATGGGAAGAGCTTTAAGGTATATTATCCAATAAAGTTCATTGAATACAGGTGAATCTAAATAAATAGAGGGGAACATTGAATGTTTTCTAGTGGCATATTATTTCAGAAATTCATTAGTTTTTATTGATATGTTATTAGTACTTTTGGAGTTTAGAAAATTGGCAGAAGATCACTTTGTACGATGTAGTGTGGATATTTTAAAAGCGCTTAATAACAGGAAGAAAACAGTCATACATACCATAATGAACAGATCAGTATTTATGATAACAATTTTTTTAGATATTACTACCAACGTGGAATTCTCCAAAAGGTTGATGGTCAGCGTTTAGTCTACCAGTTTGTTGATGTTCCGAAAGAGGTTAATGTTACTGTTCTCAGTTTTCTGTTTTTAAAGTTTTTTAAAATCCAACATTTTCTTTCAAATTTGGCTCTGTTTCTTCAAACTAAGAAGAAACTTTGTAATGGACACTGTATAAAAATTTTTTTGCAAATTTATTTTCCTTCAATTCGTCAAATGAAACTGTATCATCCTTGCGTATCATACATAATATTACAGAATCTTTAGGCATCATACTGTTCAAGTTGCTACAATTCAGACTAACTGTCGTAATGGAACTTCTAGGTCTTTGAAAGCGGTGGGCGCGAACCATCATTTGAGCCTGGTGATTCAATTGATACTGCAGGTTCAGATACGTCGTCTGGAGGATCTGAAATCGCTGAAGAAAGTTTAAACTACGAAAGTGCCGAGTCACTTTCAACTGTATCGCCAAGTACTGTGACGCCAAATACCGTTGTAGAATCACGTCAAGTTTCATGTGCATGAAACAAGTGAAGTGACGATCGTATTGGTTGTCGTATTTTGACGAAACGTCATTTTGTCTACTTCAAGCACATTAGCTGAGTTTTGAGCTTGAAACTAGTCAGCGTGATGTTGAGGACCGTCGTTTCCTTAAGCAAAAATCACTTTCGCTTTACATAATCTGTAGGCCTACCGTATCGAGCCACTATTAATTTGTAATTAATCTTAGACTGTCTTCGAAGTTCATAAACTGTCTTTTAACTGGTTCATCCCGTTATTATTGCTAATCACTCAGTTTGTGCTTCACAAACACAGTTTTCTTCTGGTTCACTGATGATTACCAGTAGCATTGGGGGTCGAATTTCATGAGATTTGTGGGTATAAAAATTTGATTTTGCTCGTGTTCTCTTTTATTTTTTGGCCAAAAAACACTTTTAGAATTTTGTGGGACAACCATAAGTTGAAGTTTTTGGGTAGGAAAGTTTTCGTTTTTTTATCCTTTATTGCTGAATCCAACTCGTAAAAACGTATCCCTCATTTCTGCAAACGTTGATTGTACGGGCTTTTGAGGGGGCGGGGAGAACGAAGGAAGGAGGGGGAGACAAAAACTTCTGAAGAAAAATTGAGTGAACAGTTACCTAAACTGCTGAGGAGTTTCCTCTATAAAGTATTTGACTATTGTCAGCGCCTATCCACTATTCTTTTATAGAATGTGTTGTTAATATTTTGATATTCCGTAAAAGGGATTAAGAAATCAAAAGGCAGAAGACGTGCTTTAATTCTGTCCATTGTTTTCCATTTTATTTTCTAACTGTTTTTGAAGTCTTTCAATGTTTTGCTTTCCGAATTTATTATTTTTAGCTCAACAGGTACGAAAATCGGCTTTAGCTTTGCTGATGGTCTTTCACTTTCCTTTTCCCCTGCCGATTTCATGTATAAGCATATGCTTACTGTGACCATCTAAAAGGTGTTTCATCTTTTGCAAAATATTAAATCAAATTTTAAGAGACTAAAAGACGGACAGATTCAGCTCTTTTAAAAACAAAACAAATAAATAAAAAAAAGAAAAAAAAACCTCTAATCAATGTGATATTAAACTTCGCTTCTGTGAAGATGGACTAATTTTTCATATATATTTATATATATTGACCTATGTATCTTATCTGGTCTTCTTTTGTGATAAGCAGTATCCGATGGCTGAATTTACCTATGTCAACATGCCTTTTCTTCCTTTTTGAAGTCTTTGGTGATATTACTAATCGGTGTAACAAAGTGATAATTTTCAATGATAAGAACTGTTTACTTCACGATGGTTATTTATTCGGCTTAATAATTTTATCGTAATTTTGCTCTGAATAAAAATCATACTCATTTTTCTCCATAGCAATTTTCTGTCTGTTCATCTTCAGCGACAGTAATTTGGCCCAAGCACCCTTGCAACAACAAATTAGAAAATCGCTCTTTAATTTTTTTGCAGTTTTATACTCTTTCCTGAAAAAGGCCTTTTGACAGCTCACAAAATTCTTCTACTCAAACAGCCCTATTTAGTCCATATTAGATAGGAAACAAGGACTAGTCAAAGTATCAAGAGCGACTAGTCAAAATATTAAACAAATACTATTCAATGGAAACTGCCACTTACCGCACTATATCTGCGGCAGCTTTTATCCGATTTTTCTGAGCCAGGCTCAAAGCTATAAACAGTTTGCAACGCGAAATCAGTACAGGGTCACCAATGAAGCTTGCTAAATGCAACTGCTTGAATGACACTAATCTTGCCTTATCAATCTAAAAAATTATCACTAGTCTAAAAGTAGGCTTCCAATTTGATTCTTTGGATATCTCTTAACAATTCAGTAAACACTAACAAATGACGGGAGGTAGTCTGCCATAGCCGATATAGCTCCACCGAGTGTTGAAAGGCTCCAAAACAACCATTCCATGTCTAAGGCACGATGCACCACTGTATATACTCGGTACTCCCTAGAAGGACTAGATAACTCCGTATTCTAAATAAAAAAAACCACCTTTAGTCACAAAAAGACAGTTTTATTACTTACTCACCACTGATAATCGATGTGTTCATAGACTGGTTGAAGAACTCGGAGCCTTAATGTAATGCCCTAAAATCTGTTGGATTTTAGATCTGCTGTACTCAGAAAGAGTCTGTCATAGAAAGTTGGTGAGAAACTGTGTAATCTAAAAATTGCTAGACAACTGTTTTTGAAGCAGAATTGTAAAAAATATGAAGCAAACCGTATTAAAGGGTAAATGATAGCTTTTTGCGAGACACATCAGAAACTGTTTTAAAACTCGTATCCAGCTGAGCTCAAATGTAATCACAGTGAACACAGTGGAATTCACTCTCCATCTTATAATTCCTTTCGGTTTAGAGCGAGGTTCAAGATGCACAATTCTTGCGCAGCCTCTTAATTCCTCCACCAGAAACTTTTCGTTAGCGTCGATCATAATAAAGTTCTTTAAGCTTTACTACATTTATACTGAGGTCATAAAAAATCGTTTTAGACTGTTTAAAACCCCAGAAACAACTTTCAAATGGCCTCACCTGCAAAATTTCTTGTATCACTTCACTTTTTTTTTCAAAAAAGTTAATGAAAAACGTGTAGCGCACGAAGAGATGCAAGAAGAACTAACTTCATTAACCGCTTCAAAAAAAGCAAACAAAGAACCTTCATGCTAACGATTATTTTGATGGAAAATTAACAATTGATACGTCGTAACAAACGCTAGAGAGAATCTTTCAACGCTCAAAAAACCTGTAAAGAATCCCACTCTGACGACTCGAATGAAAACGCAAAATTACAGTTTCTTCGAAAGCGTATGTCTCTGTGAATGACAACTTGTTCAAAAAGCAATTTGCTGTTACAAGGAAAAGCGGAGTTCCAAATTTTCGAAAAGTACGGCTTTTCTCCATTTCTGACCGCACAGCACAAAGTTCTTGAGTTCTTTGATCTCATTAAGGTCATTAGGTCAAGGGTACTAATTAGCTCCTGCAAATTTCAAAAAAATACCTATCCACACTTCATTTGAATGTACACTCCAAAGTCCCTTCTACAGTGCCACTAACTGCATACTTACTAGTTTTTCGCAATTGACCGTTTCGGAAAAATTTACTGGGCCTCCGATGCTATACCAACAAAAGTACTTTGACCGAACACTACACTGTTAATTAATATCAACTTCAGCAAAAAAACTTTTAAGTTGTGAGCAAAAAAAAAAAGAAATACATTTTAACTCTCATATTTTTAAAAGAGGAATAACGTAAATGAGTTAAAAAAGCCTACTTGACTTTATAAAAACAACAATAATGAAGAAGATTCATAGAAAGTGAAATTACCATTTACAAACAGGAACTTAGCAACATCTAACTGTCATCTTGTTTAGCAAAGAAAAAACTGTTTTCCTCCGCAAGTCCACTTTGATTGACATAAACCAATAAGAAGAAAGAGGTAAAAGAAATGTCACACACGTGAAAATCAATGAGACCGCCTTTCTAAGCGTTTATTACATGAATTTTACAAATCCATTTTGAGCA